TTGAGCGTCTTCATAATCGAGACTTCACGCTCCTGCTGCTCGTAGGCAGATGTCGCCCCGATCCTCTTTTTGATAATCTTGCAGGCATAGTCTTGACTGGTGCTTTTGTGATGCACCAGATGCACGATTCCAAAAGCTCCCTGACCCAGGACCTGGCCAATCGTGTAGATTTCGCCCACCTCGGCCATGGCGTTTTCGCTGCGGATGTGCTGGCACACTGATACCAGCGAATCTCTTTTTCCACTTCCGCCGGGCATTAGAACGGCAATGTGGCTGGGTATAAATGTGTTTGTACAACTCGAGACAATGATTGCGCTTTTCCCAGAAAATGGAGGGATTTCTCGCAGCCAATCCCTACTTTAGTGCCGGCGCCGGGATCCTTGGCCTGACTGCCATTGGCGGACTGGCCGTAAAGGGTCTGGGACATGCTGCCTATTTGGCCAGGCGGAGACTGCTGGTTTCTCTTGAAATCCCCATCAAGGATGCGTCGTATCCCTGGTTTCTGGAGTGGATGAGCAAGCAAGGCAAGCAGCAGTCGGAGCTGCAGAAGGGAGCTCTGCAGCGGCTGCTGGGCACGAAAAACGTCCATCAGCTGTCGGTGGAGACCCAGCTGGTCAAGCATGACAATGGCTCTGTCTCGTCCTCCTTCTCGCTGGTTCCCGGCCAGGGCAAACACTTTTTTATCTACAGGGGGGCCTGGTTCCAGGTCGAGCGCTCGAGGGCCAAGAACATGGTACGTTCTGATTTCCAACGCTAGATGAATATTGCCACGGGAATCCCCTGGGAAACCATCAACGTTACCACGCTAAGCCGCGACCGTCACTTGTTCCTCGAGATGCTGCAGGAGGCCAAGGTGGCCGCCATGGCAAAGGAGGAAGGGAAAACGGTGGTCTACACTTCGTTCGGACCGGAATGGCGACCATTTGGACAGCCCCGAAGGAAACGGCCGCTCTCGTCCGTGGTCCTGGACGGCAACACTAGCAGCTCGATCCTCGCCGACGTGCGGCAGTTTCTGGGCAGCAGCGGCTGGTACTATGACAGAGGCATCCCGTATCGCAGAGGCTATTTGCTCTACGGCCCACCGGGATCGGGCAAGAGCAGCTTTATCCAGTCGCTAGCGGGGGAGCTGGACTACAGCATCTGCATCATGAATCTAGCCGAGCTGGGGATGACCGACGACCGATTTGCCCATCTCCTGAACAACCTGCCTCCTCGGAGCATAATTTTGCTGGAAGACGTCGACGCGGCCTTTTCAGCCCGCACCAGCCTCGAATCCAAGACCAAGGGCTATCAGTCGATGCTCACGCTGTCGGGACTGCTGAACGGGCTGGACGGGGTTGTGGCAGCGGAAGAACGAATCATTTTTATGACCACCAACCACTTGGAGCGACTGGATCCTGCGCTGACTCGGCCCGGAAGAGTGGACTTTAAAGTGCTGCTGGACAACCTCACAAAGACCCAGGCCCTCGAGCTTTTCTTGCGGTTCTATCCAGAGCAGCACGGGCTAGGGACGCTGTTTGTGGAAAAAATGCAAGAGCTGGAGCTCATCGGCAGATTGTCGCCGGCCTCGCTACAGGGACACTTTGTGATGTACCGCGACTCGGCCGAGGATGCGCTAGCCCATCTAAGCTCCATTGGTGTCTTTACCGCCAAAAAAGACTAGACTGGCGACCGCAAGTCTTGTCGATCAACCATTCTTAAAATGCATTGGCACCGTGTATCAGTTCATTCAATAAACAACCAGCAAGACACGCCAATCTGGTAGTTATCATCGCCATTCGTCCTTGAGCCGCCAGCCCTTTCCGCTCTCGTTGTTTAAAAACACTGCGATTTCCTTCAACATGCCGCGCAGCATGTCCATGTCTCGCTTGCTGTGGCTGTCCAGATTGAATTGGGCAATGATGGCAGACGATGTGACCAGCTCTGGGCCATCGATATAGTCCCGCAGCTTCCCGGCAAGCTCCTTGAAGCCGGCAGAGCTGCTGGATTCGTCGGGCTTTCGGGTCATGCCCGACTTGTTTCGCAGTCCCTGCAGCAGCGACTGTGACTTTGGTTTTCCAGCGGCGCCGTTTTTCCCGGTCCAGGTCGGCATTTCGATCGGCTGCTGCCTCACCTGTCGTCGAGACTGCTTCAGCGCCTGCACGGCCTGCTGCGCAACCATCTGCGCTTCCCTCTGAATCAGCTTGGCTTCGGGAGTGACGGAATCCATGATGGCGTCGTGCTGCAGGGCAGAGTGGACTCCGGTGGACGAAAACAATTCCTTGAGAATCCTGTTGTCGTCGTCTTCAGCCAACGGACCAGCGTCCGGGCCATTGGTTTGGTCGCTGCGCTCGCCATCCTGCTGCGACGGCAGAGCTGACTGGAAGTTGGCCACTTTGTCGACGCCTTCGATGGTCTTGTCTTCGACCGACACCTGGACTCCTTCCACGGCTCCAAACAGGGATCCGGTTTCTGTGTCTTGGTTGTTTCTTTCGTCCAGCGTAAACAGGTCGTACAGGTCATTGCTTTTGAAGAAGCGTCGCTGGCGGGGGTCCTTTAGAACCTTGTTGGTGAGAAACTGCTTGAAGATCTGACGATGGTATATTTTCTCCTCAATGGTGCCGCTCGTCATGAGCCTATAAATAGTCACGGCTTTCTTTTGTCCAATCCGCCAGGCTCTTTCTCTGGCCTGCATGTCCTAGCAGTGAATCGACCGCTCTCGTACAGTGCTGGGGTTCCAGTCGGGATCATATATGATGACCCGATCGGCTCCCGTCAGATTGATTCCCAGCCCTCCCACTTTGGTGGTGAGCAGAAAGAGGAAAAAGGTGTCGTCCTTGTTGAACGTGTCCACCATTTTGCTCCGCGAGGATATGGCGGTGTTTCCGTCCATCCGCATGTACTTGTACCCCTTTTCCACCACAAACGACTCCACAATGTCCAGCATCTGGCGAGTCTGGCAAAACAGCAGCACCCGATGTCTTTGGGCTTGCCACATGCCGAGCAGCGATTCGACAACCAGCAGCTTGCCCGACCGAGCAGCCGCGCCAAAGTCCGAGGCCTGGTTCTTGGACCGGAGCAGGTCGGGATGGTTGCAGATCTTTCGCAGCACATCAATCCCGGCCAGGACCTGGTACTTTCCATTCAGGATTTTCGCTACCGTATCCGACTCCAGGTATCTGGTGTACAGAGTCCGCTGCGTCTGCGACAGCTTGCAAAACAAAACCTGCTCGCTCTTTTTGGGAAGCTCCTGGGCCACATCGACCTTCATCCGACGCAGCAGATAGGGGGCGATAAAGTCGCGGAGCACACACGCGCATCTATATGCCGTCTGGACCTGGACGTTGCTGGCGTTGGCATAGCCGCCCATTTGAATCGGCAGAGAAAACTGGGTCTTGAACACCGGGAGAGTGCCGAGCCGTCCGGGATACACAAAGTCGTACAGCGACCACAGCTCTGGCAGATTGTTTTGGATGGGAGTGCCGGACAAGATGATTCGGTTGTGGGTGCGCAGTTTTTTGCACAGAATGGTGATTTCGGCGTCAGGATTCCGAATCTTGTGGCCCTCGTCCAAAACGCAGTAGCCCCACTTGATTGGCAGCATCTCTTCTTTGTAGACCCTGACAGACGAGTACGTCGTTATGACGACGTGTCCCTTTCTGGTGATTCGGTCCAGCAGCGCCGCTGCCGACGAGGAGCTGTACACCGCGGTCTTTCTTTTCTTTGCCGAGCGATAGGCGCGGTCGTCGGAATCCCACTCTTCGCCGTCCGAGCTGAGGGCAAGTCTTGCGCCTGCCGAGGCCATTCCGCTGCCGCTAGAATGGAGGATGGCCACTCTGAACGGAGGCCACCATTTGTGAAACTCCTGGACCCACTGGCGCAGCACAGTCGCCGGACAAACAATTAGGATGGGGCCGTCCAGTTTTTTCGAGTAGCCAAGGCTGGCCAGGAACGCTATAATCTGGACAGTCTTTCCCAGCCCCTGTCGTGAGCTGTCTGCAACAAACCATCTCGTCGCCCAAAACGCCTCCCACCTGCTGGCAAAACAGCTCCCACAGCCACCGCACGCACGTCTTTTGGTAGTCAAACAGATGCACGTAGATGTCGGCCGGAATCGTAAATCCGTCGTGGAGAGCATGGTCGGTCCCAATCCCAGACCACTGGAAGGCCTCGTTCTCCAGATCTTCGGGATGGACATCTTCAAGCGACTCCAGAGCCGCGCCAGGGTCGCTCTGCTGCTTCCGCTTGTATCGCCGCCGCAGTGCCCACTTGTTGAAGCGGCTGCGGTACACCGACTCGTCGCCGTCGTCTTCGTACCGCCAGCTGGCCTCTGCCTCAACAGCGGGCTCAGCATCGTCTTCCGACTGAGACTGCGAAGAGTAGCCCTGGAACAGATCAACGGCCGCCTCCTGCTCCGATGGCGGGTCTTGCGACTCTTCGAAAAACGTTAGCTTGCCCAGACGAATCAGACGCTCCTTTTCAGTTTCCTGCGCAGGAACAGAGGTGGTGCCTTCAGCCGCCGGGTTTGTCTGCAGACTGGGATGGGATAGTCGATCTTGAATGTCCCTCCGCTCCTGCTCCAAATCCGAAAGCAGACCGTACAGCTGCGACAGCTTTTTTTCGACGGCAATGGTAGAGTCCTTCATTGACCACTTTGAAATGGTTTGCTGGACCTCTCTGAGCTTGCTGTTGACCCGAGCCAGTCGCTTCAGCTCTATTTCTTCCATTTGCTTTTCCAGCTCAATCTCTGCTTTTTCCATGATTCTTTTTTGCAGCTCTTGCTCATCTTCTGCCTGACGAGAAAGAAGCTGCTCAAGTCCGTCCATTCTACAACTGTTTTTGGGAAAGCATGACGAGGATGACACATAACCCAGTGCTAGCTGCAGATGTCTGCCGGCCGGTCGGGACTTGCGTGCGATCCGCTCTGTAGCACGGGCCAGCAGCTGCATCGCACTGCATCAAGAGCGCTGTGGCAACTGCTGTTTATAGGACAAAATGCTGTCAGGGCTTGTTTCAAAAATCTCCAAATGGCGAAGTCGCACCGCGTCTCCCTCCTAAGGAGAAGATCCTGGGTTCAATCCCCAGTTTGGAGTTATTATTTTAAGCAGCAATTCTGATTTTTTGCTGCCAAAACGCTCTGCCAAAGCACCACCGGGTCGAATTCAAGTCCCGCCTCAGCTCTGCTCGGACACCACGGTCGGAAGTCGTTTATTTGCACAAACCTGCAGAGCCGCAAACCACGGTCGTCCATCAAAACGAAGAGCGGATGCGAGACTGGATGGCATGCAGTCGTTCTCGAAACGCCAGAGTGGATGGGCTGGAGGTGCCAGGGGGGATAGACAAGAGATACTTGCTGAGAGCCTCGTCCACCACCCGGGCCGGAAACTCGCCTCGCTCGTAGATGGAGCATGTGGGAGACCGGACATGTTCGAACCAGAGCCCCACATGAAAAGTAATGTTTTCGACAAGATAGAGACACTGCGAAGCGCCAGACCACGGCGGAAGCTTGCTTTCAAACATTTCTTGGTAGACCTCAAAGACCCTAACAAAGGGAACCTTGATGTCCAACAAGGCCCGAACGACCCAGTTGCGGTCGACGCGCTCTTCGTTGCTGCCCGTCGTCACAAACTCATAAGTCATTCCCTCCAGCTTGCTGATCAGAAACTTGAGCGGAAACACAGTCTCGTCCGGATAGAATCGTCTCCCCAGCTCGACCAGCTTGGCCCCCAGCGCATCCATGGAGTAGTCCTTGACGGTGGTGCGGATGATTTCCGACCAACAGTCCTCGATGATGTTTTGGCCCTGGCCCCCAGAGTGTTCGGAAATGAAAAA